CGATACACTGATGTGTAAAGACACGAAACGATATGTATGTGCAAGAAACTGAACAGTATTTATGTAGTTTTTGAGCTCTGATTCGCGTTCACAACAGCCTGTGCGTGACGCGTGTACATGCTCTGGCATAGTAGACAGAGATATGTATAAGTAGATGCCCGTGGTAAGCAGATAAACATCACATTTTCATTTTTGGGTGAACTATCCCTTTAACTAGGGAAAGCGATACACAAATTGAAAGGAGAAATAAGCATATATAACAATAAATATAAAAATATAGCCTAATAAGTTAATAATAATAATATACAGATGTTAAATTAAATATTTAATGTTAATAAAAACGTTTTATCTGATAATATTGATCTCTGATAATCTATGCTATGGTCACGCAGGTTTGTTACGCATTAAACTCGTGGCCATAGAAAAATATGTCATTCCCTCAACATATTTTTCATATTGCTGATCATATTATCACGTTCCCACGAGTTATTATGACGTGGCCACAACAAAACTAAGTGAACCGAACATGTCATCTCCCGGTCACTGTAGAAGTAAGCCTATCAGAGGTCATAAATATAAAAAACAGGCACCCATTACAGAGGGCTGCGAAATGAAAACAAAGTCATTGTTGTTTATTATTGCCCTTAATATTGTAATCATGTTATTAGAATACTTTAAAAGACCATATTCTTATAGGCTACACAGCCAAATGTTGTAGAAGAACTCTATTGAACCTATTAGAGGTGAGGCTGAAACCAACACAGAAAGCTGTCTTTGATCTTTTATTCTTGCAAGAAGGTCATTCAACACAGAAGGGCTTCTGCAGGAGGAAGAGCCAGTTACACAGATGCACAGTAGTTTATAGATATTCTTAAGGCTAACACATTCACACTAAAAGGAATAAAACACTTAGCAAGCCTTGGTGTATATTTATACACCAAGGCTTAAAAACTGTATGCATAAAACTTTTGCATTGTGTCTACACAATCACATTGTTGTCATGACAAATTTGAACAAAACTCTTCTGCCCCTGATTGGCCAGTTCATTAATGCGCTTAACAGAAATGTTCGCAATTAGTTGAAATGGTCAACAGGCAATGCAATCCCTCATTTATTTCCAGCTCTGGCATGCGCACTGTTCTCTTTTTGCAGAATAATAAAACAAGCTAAAAAATCATAGTAACGAGAGATGCTTATGTGTGGAGCAAAAGGTATTTGGTATAAAAATGTAGCAAAATAGAGATTGTAATAAATTTAAATACTACAGAAAGTTCAAATTTCTAAGATATCTACCGAAGTACATTTACAGAGTATTTATACTTTCTTACTTTATACCATTTGAAAACGCAAAGTAATAAATATACTGTTTCCTTCCAAATGAGCTTTTATTACAGCTCTCAATAGCTCTCCAACGGTGTTTTTTGTTTTAATGTGGTGCAGATGGTGATATACATGGAATCCTGTCGATCCGGATCGATGTTCACCAAACTCCCCCACAACGTTCATGGTAAGAAGGGGAATTATATTAAACTATGATGAAATCATATATATTGTATAAATACACACTGTGTTTTCTAGTGTACGCAGTGACTGCAGCGAGAGCAGATGAGAGCAGTCATGCCTGTTATTTTGACCGTGTGAGGAACACCTTTCTCTCTGATGAATTCTCAGCTCTTTGGATGTACTACACTGAAGCGGTTTGTCTTTAGCGTGATTTGGGTCAAAAATAGAATTATGCTAACAAATAAGACTATAAATAAAAATGTTTGTATTTCTCAGAATGACCTTGCTAATAACACATTGCGGGATCAGTTTAGTTATCTTCAGGAAATGATGCGGAAATCTCTCTCCTGCTGTTTTGGGGACATGGTAAAAACACTTCACACAGCATTCACACAGCATGCATTAATAAATAAAACACTAAATTCACTTTCTCGTAACTGTCACTCATACAAGGTTATATATTTGGATTCCATCAGTGTTGTATTTTCTAGTTTCTAGAGTTTTTCTTTTGACTTTTCTTTAGACAGTGCGTGAGCATCTGATCAGAGAGTTTGTGAATAACACCCCTCCAAGAGTTCAGGGCGAGACAAGAGCTGAGGGGCTTGCATTAACTCATTTGACCTCTAACAATGAAGTGCCATTCAAAATCTTGGAGCATCGAATTAAAACAGAAACTGATGAAGACAAAAAACAACATCTGATCAGAAAACATCAAACTCTTCATCAGGTTTGTAATACAGTACATCATATATGTAACTAACATGTCAAGCACAGATGTTCTACAATAGCTGTGTGTTACTGGATGACAAAAATCCAGTCACAAAAATATCAAACCAAAAGATGGTTTCAACGACAACAACATAAACAAATGTTAGGCCCAAACTTAACTTCCGGTAGACTTCTGCAAAGAATCACGAACAAGAGTCCTTGTAGAGTAGAGATTATTTCTGATAACTAGCTAAATAAACAAGTAAATGACATTTAGCTAGCAGGTTAAAACTATGTCCAGCCAGTATTATTTTGAGCTACCAGCAGAAGAAAGGAACCGTTACTTGGCTAAACCTCAAGACATTTGTAAGGTATTTGTCCTGAAACGTTGGTGTCGGTAGGACTAATTTCTCACGCATCTCATCTCAAGCCGTTGTTTGAGCCTGTACATGCAGTTATCAGATATCGAGAGAGAGAGAGACACAACCCACATGCACATGTTTGCTTCATTGAGACAGAAAAGCCAAGTATCTATATTTGTTTTCTTCATATTCAATAGCCCTATCAGATAAGAAAAGCATAAGCAGAGAAAACCAGCTGCGGTTCTCACAGTGCCATAGAAAGCTTGCTGCTGTGCATGTAAAGCCCATTTACCTCTTCCACAGACATATTTGTGACTTTAAGCCAGTACAAATTTAAGCTGTTGTTTTTGTTATTTTCGTGTTTCTAAGTGTTTTATCTTTAACCCGCTGATTGTGCAGCTTGAATATCCTATAATGTTGAATTAAAGGATGTTTTGGTATCAGGATTATGTATTTATCAGAATAATACATGAATCTTTATCTTCCAGACTAAAGCTAAAATTGAGAGAACAGTTGAAGCTATCAGTCGGTACTTTGCACTTGAGGATGCTTTGGATGAAGATTATTCTCAGATGGATTTACATGCGTTCAAGACTGTAGCTGAGCATTTCAGGACAACCTGTTTTGACTGGCACGAGGAAGAGGTGAACAACACTGCAAAGAATATTTCATTTATAGCATGAAGATGACAGACTCTCTGTACTTCTCATGTATTGGCTTTATGCGTGTATGTTCTCTCTCTGTCTGTCTAACTAACTCTGTCTCACACAGTTTCAGATGGCCTTGTCACACACGCATGTATTTGCTCGTCTCTGTGCACGTGGAGTTGAAGCAGAGAGGTGCGTTCATCACAACACTATTCAGCATCGTTTAGTTCATTGTTACAGTCTGCATTAACTTACATTTGATCTTACATGTCCTCTTGAATTGCTAAATTGTTTTTTCTGTTACAGGATCATAGAGGTCATAACAGCAGTCTCCAGGAGAAGGATGTTCCTAAAGTAATAACAACATCCTTAAGAAGAGCGTATGAAATTTAGACCAATCTCTTCCTTATAATATGTGAAACTGATGAAAGTTGCTCGTAGATAATAACTTTGGTTAAAAGTAGAAAGTGCAGTCTGACATTTGTGTCAAAATTGAGTTATTCACATATTCTTATTCTGTGACTTATTTACATTGTGATGATTTTTCTTCATGCTGTGTACATTGTGGGACTTGTTTTAGAAAACAAAAAGGTTCTATCTACAAAGTCAAATGGAATACAGATGGAACCGTATAAATACTGTATAGCTGGTGCCGTACCTTTTGTTCACTTTTGGATCTCAGAAACTAGTGTTCATCTACCAAACGCTGAAAACATTCAAAAAGATAGATTATGTATTTCAAAGTGATTCTGTCAACCAATGCCCAAAAATGAAAAGTCTTTTATTATTTATTCGCCCTCATGTCATAGACATTTCTCAAAATATCTTCCTTTGTGTTCTGCAAAAGAGAGTCAGGTTTCGAACCACATGAGGGTGAATAAATGGTGACAGAGTTTTATTTTTATTTTTGTCTATTTCTTGAAGGCACAGAAATATGACAAACAATTCTCATAGCAGTGCATACTTGATCAGGATGTTTGGCTGTGCTTCAACAAAAGGATTTACTAATAATTAAATAATCCAGGTGAGGTAAATCTGAGTTTACTCAATACATATGCGTACAGAGATTTATCACGGTGCCCTAAGAGGCTTAAAACCTGTTTAAAGTAAGGGATTTATGAGAAGTGCTCGTGATATTTGAAATTGATACCCAAACAAACACTCCTACAAAAACATGCCACTACCTTTATTTCTCTGCCCTCCCTCAAAATAACAAACATGCGATGCAACACAGCCATGAAATGGATGTGCCTTAATCATAGCTAAGGCCTAGCAAAGTAATGCAAATGAGCAAACAAATGCAGAAACGACATGAGTACAGGTATATGCAAGCATCACAGCAGCTTCAGATGCCCGATGACACTCAAAACTGCTCTGTTACTACATCTAAAGCATCTCTTACTTCTGTGAAACAACAAAACCAATGCTATTCACATATCCAGCTAAATCAAAGCAACCTCTTTTTCAGACAATATCAGTGAGTCCTGACGTGTCTTTGCAGGAAAAACTACAATAGTAGCATGGGTCCCAGCTCTTGCCTGATAGTTACACTTTTTACAGCGATGATCCTCAGCACTTTTCCTTTCGGGCAGAATACTAGCCATCTCTCTTTCTACAAATGCCCGTTTGCTCACTCTGTGCTCTCTGCGATCAGAAGTGTATGTGCTGTATTGCTGATTGACACGCTTCATTTTAAAACCTGGATCAGAGGCACTTTCAAGTATGTTTAGATAATAACAAATGCAGCAGCAGCTACGTAACAAAGCCCATTAGACTGCATGGCTGCATCATTAAATGCTTGTACACCTACAGTACTACAGTACTTCATTTTCAGGGGATGTTGAGAATGCACTCAGGCAATGTAAGACAAGCATGCACTGAAACAAATGAAGTGAAACACTGGCATGAGGAAGATGCCTTGTGTCATCGATCAGGCCCATCAACAATGACAGATCTCTCTTCTGCATGCTGCGTTAATTGCCTAATAATATGTACTGTATGATGATGATGTATAAAAGGAAAACACCTTCAGTGATGGTTAGCTGAGCCCATTTATTTGCTGTTGTTGGGCTTAGGTTTCATTATTCATTCATCATTTATTCATTTAGCAGACACTTCTAGCTGTTTAGGTGAAAGCAGTTGTAAACTTTGAATACATGACTTAATGTCAAACAGTTATTGCATGTAAAACCTGAAAATTCGTGTGCCAAACCCCGCCAAACCTGTGTAGTTGGTTCACAAAAAAATAAAAACCCGAATGTTATTTGCATGAAATGCTTTTCTGGTTGTGTTTCCTAGAACAACATTCATGTGAACATCATAGCTCTCTGCTTTTAGGAGGTATTATGAGGGTTGAGGTAAGAACTGTGATTGGTTGATATAAGTCAAATTGGTCCTCATTCATGAAACATTCGTAATTATAGGAGTAAATTCTGAGTAACTGAGTAAAGTAAAACAGACCTTCCCGAAAACTCTCCTCCAGATTCACAAACGCTGCGTACACATCAGATTTGATAGTTAAACATGGGCTTGTTAATGAATTCCAATCATTCATAAATAGGGCGCTCGTGCAGTTCATTCACAATTAGCATAATCCCCGCCTGTGAATTACAGCTAAGGTAGGCAAATTGCAAGTAGGGCTCGCTGCAGCCTGCGGTGGACATACAACCCCGCCCATGTTTGAGTGTGACGTCGAAAGTCACGCCCATATCAAATACGTCACCTTGTGATTTCCCCATCGAAACCCGGAAGTAAACCTCTAAACAATTTTATAATAAAATAATGTTGTCCTTCGTTTTACTAATACACGTTTTCTTATTTTTGTAAATGTTAGCTAAAATGGCACAACTTAAATCTTATAAACAGTATATTTAATATGTCTAATATACTGAGCTGATTTCGTCATCATAACAGTCTGTAAAACCTTGCATTGATTAAATAAGGCAAATTGTTGATTAAAAAAAGCCTTTAAACCTTACCTTGTTCATTTATATAATTAGATAAATTAACATTTATTACGATCGATTTTGACCTACCTGAGACAAATTTGAAATGTATCAAATTTAAAGGGGATAATTAGATTTTGGTGTTGTAAAAGTAAAAATGCTTAACACATTTTCATTCATTTATAATTGTCATTTAATTTTCTAAAGATGTGTTCCACTTATCATAGTGTTAGCATTTGAATGACAGAATCAACAGTTCTCCACGTGCAGTAGGCGACACACACATAGGCTGAATAGAGATTGCTTGCTTTGATAACTAAAGAATTTAAATCTAACCTAAAATAATCAAAATAAAATTCAAAACATCTTCAGCGTGCTACTCGCACGCTCTAACTTAACTACTCTAACTACTAAACCAAAACTTACAGCGGGTGGCAACACTCCTAAACTAATAACTAATACATCAAAATAAACTACATGAAGCGCAATGTATGTCACGTGACATCTTATACTGCTCTCTTCCCAACATATAAGCAAAGAGCACGGACATAACAAACCTAAATACATGGGGTAAAATAAAGAATAAGACAAATCAACAACATAAACGCTAACAAAGCAAGCATACTTAAAGCTACACTCATTTCAAAGAGGCACACAAACCCAGCCCAGCCCAGCCTCCTCTCGAAAACAGATGCGACATCGCCTTTTATACTTCCGTCAACGAGATCTAGTGGGAAACACAAACAAATTAATATACAAACATAACAAATCATAACAATTATATACTGTACAGTAAGTAACATGACATTGACCTTCAGGGCTTGTTCATCAACACAACTATGAAATGTGTCCGGGTTCTCATACTTAAAGATGAATAAATAAAAAAGACATCCATTGCTTTATTGGGTCTTTTTATATGTATTATTTTACAAAAATAATTACATTTTAAATTTTACAAAAATATATACTACCAGTCAACAGTTTTTGAACAGTAAGATTTGTAATGTTTCTTAAAGAAGTCTCTTCTGTTCACCAAGCCTGCATTTATTTGATCCAAAGTACAGCAAAAGCAGTAATATTGTGACATATTTGTAATATTTAAAATAACTGCTTTCTGTTTAAATATACTTTAAACTGTAATTTATTTGATGAATAGAAAGATCCAAAGGTCAGCATTTATGTGAAATAAAAGGCTTTTGTAACATTATACACTCTACCATTTAAAAGCTTGGAGTCAGTATACTGTATATATATTTTATTTTAATTTTTTTTGAGAAAGAAATCTTTTGTCTTTATCATCACTTTTGATCATTTTAAAGCATCCTTGTTAAATAAAAGTCTATCATTCTATAATTTCTATTTCAGATAAATGGTGTTCTTCTGAACTTTCTATTCATCAAAGAAATAATGTCTTTTGAGCAGTAGGGTGCTTTCACACTAGCACTTTTGGTGCGCACCCGGGTTCGATTGACGTCAGAGTTCGGTTCGTTCAGATGATGTGAACGTGGTCTTCCGAACTCGAGTGCGCACCCGCGAACCGTACCCGAGTCTACTTAAAAAGGGTGGTCTGGGGATCGGTTCATGTGAACTCCGGTACGGTTCGCTGCTGATGTGAACGCAGTCGTACCAAATCACGGAAGTGAACCGCTATTAATGACGTATTATTTGATAAAAATGTGTGTTTCACTCACTTTCCTGACGAGCGTGACGCGCTGCAAGCAGAGAGCTGTATATCTAATTTCTGTTCACCTTCAGAGTACTTTAGAGCATTTGCAGCACATTCGTAAGGCAGACGTAAGTGCGGTTATGTACTGAAGCTTTGGAAACAAACCAATGGTTCAAAAACATAAATATAAAATTGAAGAGAGCAATGCTACGCATTTTGCCGCCTTCTCCTGCGCCATCATTACTAAGCAACGGGGTAAACAGCTGCTGGCTTGATGACGCAAACGAACCGTGGTTCGGACGCAAATAATATAATGTGAACACAGTCCAGCGGGGGCAAGGAGAGGGGGGAGCAATCAAACTCGGGTTCGGACCAAACAATCGAACCAAGTGTGAAAGCACCCTTTAAATCAGAATACTAGAATGGTTTCTGAAGGATCATGTGATTGGAGAAATGATGCTAAAAAATTCACATTTAAAATCACGGGATAAATTACATTTGAAAATACATTCAAATAGAAAACAGTTATTTTAAATAGTAAAAATATAAAAAAATATTACAGTTTTTTATCAAATAAATCCAGGCTTGGTGAGCAGAAGATACTTCTTTAAAAAACATTTAAAGATCTTACTGTTCAAAAACTTTTGACTGGTAGTGTATGTTTAACAAAAATATGTCCCAGCTATCATAAAGTCTGAGCAGTTGAATAAACAGTTGAATGATTAGATAAACAGTTCTTGAAATGCAGTACACACACATACATATGCTACACAGAGAGATTGCTTGCTCTGATAGATTATTCACAGAATATGCCATGGACGTTTAGGGCTTGTTCATCAAGACAATTTGATATGAATATGCCCAGCTCCTCCAGATACTCAAAGATGAACAAAAAGACATCTCTTGCTTCATCCGTTTCTCCCCCAGGTAGTCTTTGATGGCATTCTGCTGATTTGTACTGTCCATCTGGAGAAACGCAGGCCCTGTCACCTCCCCACAGAATAACCCACGGTGACTCTGTATCCAGCACTACACTGAGTCAATGTCTCTTACAAACGTCCACTTTATGTGCTCTTGGTGCTCCTGTTAAAAATAGAGAATACATCTGTGTTAGGAGATATGTGTGTCCACTAGAAACGTATTTAC